GAGCTGTATAGATGTAAGATAAAAAATAAAACTCACAGATGTAGCTTTAACTGTATATGAATAGATGATTTCAGGTATTTTAAAGGGTTCTCTTAGGATGCACTCACAACCAGCAGGTCTTAGCAGTAATAGTATAAATAGTTTATTTATAATAGACCATTGTGTATAAACTGTATCTGTGCAATGTAGGAGAGAAAAACTATGAATATTCTGTATAGTTGCTGTATGTACTGATAGGCACTTGATAGGCATATTCCCTATATCCCACAAGGTTCTGTATACTCTGGCTGCAATTCTGTCTTTATCAAACTATCTGAGAATGTATTCTTCATCGGTGTGAAGACGGTGATACAATAATATATATAGTATATTTGTAAGATATTTCACTCTTATGTGTACTGTAGAAGGCCAAAGATGCAGTAAAGTATTATCTGACTGGTGTTTTATTCTACTCTTTGTGACTTTCTTCAAGCTTTAAATAAAAAAATCTGACTTTGAATGTGTGGAGATGGACTGAAAGACAAACAGGGAGACAGACACATGGCATGCTTATCAGAATAAAATGAACCTGTTCCGTACTCGACATGACCCTCACCATTACCATTTCTCCAATTCCTTGTTTTCATCTCAATGCAAAGCATATAAGCATATATAGTACAATGTGAAATATGACTTAAAAACTGACTGTTATCCAGCTGCGTGAAGCTATGTATGTATAAACAACAGCACTATGATCACCATGACAAAAAGCAGGAGGAAGCCTGAAATAAATAAGTATAACGATGAATTAAACATACTGCAAGAAGGACAACAATGTACTGTAGACCCTGTGTCTCTACACTAAGATAAACAAAACATGAACAGTAATATATTTGAAACACAATACAAACAGCTGCAGGCTCAAGGCTATTATCTACGTTTTAATATGTTTTGTTCTGGAAAATATGCGAACACTTTGCAAACATAAAGTCTAGACTTTTTTTTTTTTCTTAAACTAACAACTAGAAGAAGCACTATTGAGAGAAGGACTCATTTTCTGGATAATGTTGCGACTTTTCAACAAGTTTTCAACCGACTTTCTGCAACACTGAGAGAGAAAAGAGAATTAAGCACCACCACAAGTAGCTGAAGCAGTATAAGGAATATATAACTATGAACAGTGAAGAGCATGTGATGCTAATGCAACAGGGGAAAAAGCCTGGGTAATGCTAAAGCACGTAAATGACACACTGGAGAGAAGGTTCCTTCCCTCTTCTGAGCCTGGTCTGCTATCAAACACCTTATGATACAAGAAGTCAACTGACAATGGGACGAGTTATTAGCCCTCATCCAGATAATGTTGAGATTGGCTACTTTTGTTATTCCAAAAAAAAAAAAAAAAAAGATAGAGAAACGACTGATAGTGTAGTTCTGAAATCAAATATTTCATAAAACCAACATCGAGCTACTTAACCTACTATTTAGACCAATGATACCACAAAGCTGGTTGTACTCATCTAGCTACAGTCAATAGTGCATTTGATATATGTGTTTACACAAATATGTAAAATTTAGGTGCCATGAAGGAATGCTAGATCACTGAATACAAACATTACACTGAAACGATTCAATCAATGTCTCTGCCTTTGCTTTCGAAGAAGTGATGATGTTAGATTGGCAGTGTTTAACTCGGTACTGAACAGACAACAAACATCAACACAATGAGCTGTGTGCCGTATGTGTGGCAGTACTGTTGGAAAAGAGATCTCGGCAGTTGCTTACATATTCTTTTTAGTGCATTGTCTGTTAAGGCATGAGATTACCCTCCACGTGCTGTGTAGAGACAAATATAGCACTAGCATGCAGCAATATTGCCATCCTGGCAACAACAGCTACAAACAGGAACCATACAGTTTAGGCTTATATGCACACCATAGGACACAGGCCCAATCAAATGTTTAATAATGTGCTACTTTTACTGCGGACAAACCTCACGTGTGTTTACGCATATGTGGTCAATAGATTCTTTTTAGCCGAGGGGAAACTGACCTACAGACTTCCCTTCAGCTCACTCAACAAGGATCTGTACTTTAGTAGCAGTTAAAATAACTTTAAGCATCCAAATGCCGGACATAACTCCTCAAATTGTACTCTGAGTTCAACAGCGTCAACCTCAGCTTGAGTCAAATCTCAGAACAAACGCCACAGGTGCCTTAATAGCCCAAAAGGTCTGGAGAGCTGCTTCTCATAGTACCTGCATTGCATATTGCAAAGGAAGCCCTACAGTTCAGATATTCCACTTATCAACAGCTTGATTAGGCTATATACCAAACACACAAACACTCACTGACGCACAAACACTAAGGAAGGGAAACAACTGTGTACAACTGACGCACAGATATCAAAGAAGCTGCATTCCATCACCTCCCCACACCTCTAAACCCACACAAAGTTGTTCTAGGACACACATATCATTTATGTTACACACACACACATTATAAATGTATTATTATTAATCATATAATAATAGTTATTATTAGAACCTCCGCCAAAGGAGCTGTGTGTATTATTACTGTTCTTGTTTCACTGTTTATGTTGTTTGGCTTGGATATTCTCCTTTGATTCTAAAAAAATGCAATCCAATGACGTTTATAGGGAACTGACTCCATAAAAGAATGAGTTCAAAGGTTTGAAACCATAGATGAGCACACATAATGGTACATATTTAAATAAAGATAAATGCTTGCATTAACACGGCACAAGAATATACTGTAGGTTACTGCAAGCAATAACAAAAGCCAAGAACCGCTGATTTACTTAATGAATAAATTGAAACAAAGCTATTCTATTACATGTGAACTCTACAACCAAATGTTAGATTTAAGAAAAAAAAAACTCTTTTCTAAAACTATAATATCTCTGTTAACAGTAGTGCACTTATTGGTTTAAGCAGTGCAACATATATGCAAGAAAATAATGCAGTCCACTTATCAAGATAAAAAAAAAATGCTTTTTTTTCCTTTGAAATTGAAAAACAGAAATCATAAAAGTTTGTTTAAGTAAAATGACTAAATATTAAGCACAGGCATTTTAAGAAAATGTGCAAAATAGCACTTTTTTATCCACAGCGGGTCTTTTTAAGACTGCTGTACTCAGTTATTCTTTTAACGATACAACTACCAAAGTTGTTGCTCACATACATGAGCAAATCCTTCAGGATTGCAGTTGCAGGCAGTTGTGTGTGTGTGTGTGTGTGTGTGTGTGTGTGTGTGTGTGTGTGTGTGTGTGTGTGTGTGTGTGTGTGTGTGTGTGCGTGTGTGTGTGTGTGCGTGCGTGTGTGTGAGAGAGTGTGTGTGTGTCGAATTTAGAGTAGAGAGCAATTATAAAACAATTCAAATATCAGAAATGAGCCTAAAGTGATGTGATGACAACTTGCTCACACTAGCTTCCAAAATCTATTCTGTACATAATGTGTCTAGATTGTTTTTAGAAAAATCAGGAATGTATACTATTGTGTAGAAAGTCCATCTGAACGTGTGGTTTATAAGGAAACAGTGTGATTTCAATGGAGCTACTTGTTTTCCTTTCAATGGGTTGCATGCCGTTTGAGCCTCCAGGGAGGGCAAACACATGGAGAGCAATGCATTTAGCTCCCACATGCCCAAATGGCTGTGCAACAGCATTGAACATGTTTGACAGGGGCTCTAGGATGAGGATGGCATTTATTTCCAATTCAAATTTGATTCAAATTAAATCCCTCCTTCTTTAACACTGTTCCAGTGTATATACCCCCTGACTAGGTATTATTACTTGATTATCAATTTGATAGCTAACCATGTAGACTCCTAAATAACAACAATATGACAAATTATTTCTTGAATCTACATCCCATAACAGTCAGGTGCAAGTTGAAGAGCAGCAATTATGAAGGAGAGAGTTTAGTCACATATGCCAGCCTGCCCTAACTGTGAAAGTGAAAGGCTTTAAAAACAAACCGTCAGCAAAAGAATCTTTCTTTTTTTCTTATGTTTTCAAATGGAAGAGGTCTACAAGCCTTAACAGTCGTTTAAAATATTAGTGGCAGTGTATGCAAATTAGTTAAACTCCAAACTTCAGAAAAAAAGAAACATGTTTTTGCTCTAATACTGTCTGATCAACACACCCAAATTTAGTAAACTGAAGCATCAAATGCATGGACAGCAATTACAAAACATATGAGAAATGTTCGTTCCGGTCGCCAGTGGACAGGAAGTCACATTTCAGATAAATGATTGAAATTGGTACCTTGACAACAGCTGCATTATAATCCCTTAATACAATAGGAATAAATTAAACCCATCATCAAATTAACTACTCTCCTTTTTTATTTTACAGAAGAAGGCAATCTTGTGACCGTCAGTATTTTTAGAGGGAATATATAGCCCGACCCCAGATGACTTTTTTGTTATTGTTGTAAATTATACCACAGTAAGCTTGGACATCTAAAGTTTCCAAACTGGTCAGTATGGGTTCACAACTGCCATGATTTATTTTTCATGGCAATGTACACACACACACACACACACACACACACACACACACACACACACACACACACACACGCACACACACGCACACACACGCACACACACACACACACACACACACACACACACACACGCAAACACACACACATGCAAACACACAGACACACAAATGCACAAACGCTCACACATATATGCACATGTATATTCATTCATACAAAACTACACTAAAAGTGTGTTTGTGTGTATGTGTTTCTTTCGTAGGCCTTTCGGTAGTGTTCAACACATAAATCAGTATTTTAGGAAAGCATACATTTAGAGGCCTGTAGTTAGGATCCATCCAGTAGATCAATATCAAACTACTAAGCCTTAAGGCCACCATCTTTTTTTTCTTTTAGATTTAACAGAAAAAAAAAAAAAAATCTTTTTTTTTTTTTTGGGAAACTTAATGTGCCAGTGTCTATACTCATTACTCTTCATACCTCAAAACAAGAAAAGGAAAATCTAGTGCCATTTATTTGTCATTCTTTTTGAAAGGAGTTTATCTACTAGTACTTATCCATCGGAGACATGCATTCGCATGTGGTCATTGAAGTGCTCCATTTGGTCGAACTTGGCAGGGCAGACGGAGCACACATAGGTGGTCCCTTCTTGGCAACTCGCTTCTGCAGCTACACCCACTCCTGTTCCAACCCCGGCCCCTACTCCAGCACCTCCGCTCACGGGCATGGCGAGGGCCACCACTCCTGCTCCGGGATCCGGGACGGCCATCGGCATGGGAATGGAGACAGGGCCCTGGTTGACGGCGCTCCCCGATAGCCCCATAATGGCACTGCCCGTGCTGTGCAGAGCCATGTGCCGCTCAAGCAGGGTCTTGTGTGAGAACTTCTTCTTGCAGATGTAGCACTCATAGGACTTCTCTCCACGGTGCAGCCGCATGTGGACATTGAGGGAGCTCTTCTGGGTGAAGCGCTTGTTGCAGATGCTGCACTGGTAGGCCCGCACTCCTGTGTGTGTCACCATGTGTTTGATTAAGTAATCCTTCAGGGAGAATGAGCGCCAGCAGATGCTGCACTGATGAGGTTTCTCACCTGGATGTTCATGCAAGACAAAAGAAGAAAAAAAAAAAAGGAGAGACATTTTCAGAATTAGGTTTTAAAGATATAGAAAAATGTGTGCAGAAGCATCAGATGCCTGAAGCCAGCAGTGTTTCTTTTCTAGTACAGGAACAAACCTCAGGCTAGAATTATTTAAGCTTTTGTTAAGTCTGTTATAATGTTGGTTCCACTAGAAGCGACAATATGCTACAGCTTTGTGAGGAAAGCTTTGCTATAATGCAGCCATGATGCAGGTGTTACAAAACTGTAACAAAAGTGCACAATTACTATTCTATGGATATTTAACATTCCTGTGATGACACAAAGGTGAACTGAGACAATAATATTTCCATATGATCACAAACAAAATAATGTAAGAATGCACATTTTCAGTTTGTTAGCTTCTCTGGATATAAACGCATTAACACACTTGTTTCTGCTGATATTTTGGACTATCAATTTGAACACGTTAATGTTATTATGTGGGGATGCTGTATGATGCAACCTGATAAAGCCACCAGTATCAACTGTAGTGCAGTGAATTTATGTGTAGCTACATGCTTTGATTTAAAAAGCCATTTTTTCATTGACCTGCACCAAAGGAAGGTCAGAACCACGGCTCAGTTATAGATCAGCGGGGTTGAGCTAGCACATATATATTAGTCATATTTGTAGTTCAAAGTCTATTTCATCTCTGACAGATTTTTTGATTGAAGCTAATGACACTTCACCTCTGCTGCACATGTGTGGTATGCACGAGTGTGTAAGTGTGTTCATCGCCTTTTAGCTATTTTGAGGTCCAAGGCAGGAATCTTCTCTATTAGCAGTTACTTTATTTTTATATAGATTTTTTTTCTGCGATAATGATTTTTGGCAGATCGAGACTGATCAGGCTGTATCAATGTTCTGCATGAGAAATCTACTGACGCAAGTAAGGAGTCAACTGTGACCTAACAAACAAAGGTTTTAAAAAAAAAAGAAGTATCTGGTAAACAACAAAGCTATCCATTAATATTTCCGTATTTCTGTATCTACAGGTAGAGCTTCTACCTACTTTAATTATGGATACATCATCATTTAACTGAAACTAAATCTGAACTACCCGTAAGCCACTATTACTTACCAGTATGGACAAACATGTGTTTGACGTAGTTTTGTTTAGCAGTAAAAGTTTTACTGCAGAGAGTGCATTCATACGGCTTCTTCTCCCCCGCACTGATCCCTCCTCCAGCCTGTTGTTGCTGAGATGGTTGCTGTACCGACATTGGGTTGGGGAATGATGGCATTGCAGGGGGCGGCACTGCCACGAACTGGGGCTGCTGCTGGCCAGGAAGGTAAAGGAAAGGCTTGCTGTCTCTAGCCGGCTGAGTGGGAAAGAGTGTGGGCAGGAAGGGGCTTCCACCAGGGCCCATCACTTGGGAGTTGCTGGTCACGGTGATCGGCATCCTCAGGTTGCTGGTGTGTGATTCTGCCTTGCGCATGTAGTGCTGGGCACTCGGCAGGGACTGGGACATGACTGAGTATGGCAGGGTCTGCATCATGCTACTGTCACTAGTGCTGTGGGATGTGTCCCCGTCGTCCATCTCTTGCACTTGCTCAGGGGACGAGTCGTTGACCTCTATATGCACAGGACCCCCTCCTTCACCTTGCTGCCCTTCGCCGCCCCCCTCTCTAAAGCCCATCAGGAACGGCTGCTGTTCCATAGCGTCTGGCTCGGTGCTGATGGAGGAGCTCACACCTGAGTCAAAACTTTCAACCTTGGTCTCGCTCTCTACACCCTCAGTATGGTCGGTGTCGTCTTGGCAATCCCCCAAATTATCATAGCAGCTGTACTCGTCTTCGGCCTCCTGCTTTATGTGCAATCCTCCCGTCTGGATGCGCGACGGTCGGGGCTGTTTGCGGCAGTGAGTGGACTCTGCTGTGGAGATGAAGCGGTCGACCTGTTGAGATCTCTCCTGGATGCGGTTCATCCAGGGCGGATTCTGAGATTGCTGGTTCTTCTGAGTGCCAAGAGTGGTGTCGTAGTTTGAAGACAGAGGGTTTATGTACATGGAGCGCTCACGGGTGCCGTTCTGCAGCGAGAGGCCAGAGTAGGAGTACAGTGATGTGTATGCACGATCAATGCTTTGCTGTGATGTTGCTTGCATATAACCCGACTCTGCGTCGCTGCTGGGCCCGGAGGTTCCTGACTCTGGCGTGCCGCGGGGTGTTTCCTGACCAGAGTCTCCCGGTATAACAGGGAACTCACCCGGCCCAGCCAGGCCCACATTCTGGGAAACGATGCGTGTGCACTCATCGATGACGGTCTTAATCTGAAGGATGCTGGCGGCAGTAAGGATCTGCAAGGCCTCTGACTGAGACACCCGCAAAATCCCACTGTACATAAAGTCAATCAGCTTTTGGATGGACTGCACCGAGACCACAGAAGGGATCTCAATGTCGCTGTAGCCCAAGAGCAGCTTGTCCTGAAAGAAGGGGCTTCCAGCAGCCAGCACACAGCGGTGAGCACGCAGCATACTTCCATGGATCCGAACAGTCACGTCACAGAAGTGCCCACGGTTGCGCTGCTCATTGAGGGTCTCAAGTACAGAATTGCTGAAGTTGTGAAGATTGATGTTATGAATGCGCTCGGTCATCCCCTTGCAACTGATGTCACCTGCAATCGGGAGGCAACAAACCTGTCTTAAAAACAGCATTGGACTGCATTAAACACACCAATATGAAGAACATTTTACATTTTGAGAAAATACTTGTTCTAGGGGAAGATTTCTCCTAATATGGAACTATAACATATTTGTATTAATTGTTTAGAGTATTACTGATGTATCAGAGTTAATACAATTGTGAAATTAAATTTAATAGAATACGAATTCACATCTAAAAAAGTCACATTTCTTGTAAGCAAGAAAACTGCCATTTGCCTTATATTAGAAAACAAAACCATATCCCAGCACTACGATTAACTTAAGTATACAATTAGAAAGATTGATGCTTATTATAAAAAGAGATAAGACTACTTTGTTGGAGGATTACTAAAACAATAATACAGATATTTTTATTTTTCATTATTTTCTTCAGCCCAGGCTCGTATTATTTGGACGAGAATCAAATCATTTCCATGCTGGAGCTAAATTTGTCTCCTGATCCTGGTATAAAAAAAACCCACATTGCTATGGTGAAAGACAATTAAGATGGTTCCCTCCTAATTATTACTGTACAAGTTCCCCCCCCCCTACACCATGCTCTTCTGAAGTTCCTCCACCCACCAGTAGGTGGTGCACTGGGCTTGGAGGACAACAGGCCTCTTTTGTTAGCCATGTGTTCACTTTGATGGCGCTTCCTTTACTATCCTTGGAATAGATGTGACCCGGCTGATCAGTGTGTAAGATTACTGTGTGTGCTTTTCTTCCAAGTGAGGCATTAAAAGAAATTAAAATCTATGTACTAAATAGATGGGTAGTTAGTGTAAGAATTATGCAAATTGAGGTTTTTCATAATTACTGTAAAACTAATTTCTTTTAAATTCAAACCATCTTGAGTATAATTTAAGTAAAGCTGTTGAGCTTATTTGGTGGTTATTAAACACAGCACTTTAGAGTCTTTATTTTGGACTCAAAAATGTACAAATCTTTGCAAAAACAATAGTTAGTTCGTTTACACTATTTCTAACAATGACTAAGAAATATATTAATAAAAAACACTTTGGTCTGAAATGTAAGAATCCACATATACATGACCTGATCATATAAAATTAAAACGTATGGAAACATGCTTTATAATTTGGAATACACAGAATTTAAATAAACTGTACAGCTGTACTAGAAATGAAAGCATTTTACAGTTACCGAATTGAAAAAGTAGGATTAAGCTAAAACGAAACACAACGTATCACGTCCAGCTTTTTACTCACAGTTAGATGACGTTTTGTTCCAAAGATGCTTGTGTGGCTGGTGATGAAGTGCGGGTCAAACTTCAGTTTGCTGGTGGAGATGGCTGATCAGAGGCCGAGTGCAAGGCAAGGCTGTCAGTCCTCTCTGTCCAAATCATGTGCTGCTCTGCCAGTGTTTGCAGGGGGAGGGGAAAGATAAGGAAAGAAATCTTAGTACCTGTGTTAAAGAGATATAATTTTAGACCATGCTTTTTCTTGTCATGTAAGATGCTTGTCACACACGCTGTTGCTCCATGTCCAATACCATGCAGTGTGTAGCAGCTCATTAAGGTTTCACCAAAACCTGCCTCTTATTTGGAACTTGCCGACAGGGCGAGGCAGCTACAATTAACTGAGCAGTGACATGCTTTAGCAGCCAACTTGTGATTAATGTGTGACAGTTTGAAATAGTATACATCCTTGTTTATTGTTAGGACTCCCATGTCTGACTTTTCACCTTCCCTCTAACACAAGTTTCCTGAGAGTCCAGAGATAAGCTCAACTTGTATTTAAGACGTGGGTGTAACTGCTGTCTGATGCACCCAAATAGACATTGTTTATAATAGATTTGATTTCATGATGAAGTAAAAGAGTGTGTGACAATCTTTGCTTTGGGACGGGTGGCTAAGGAGATCATTGACCTCTGTATGCTGAATTTGCAAATGTGTTGAACAAATACCACAAAGACAAATCCTGTTGTTTTTCCACTTGTTTAGTACGGAAATTTCCACTACAATGCCACAAACTGCCTCGTCGATATCGCCACTCCCTTAATGAACCCTGAGCCACAGTTAAAAAAAATGTCTCTTACCAACACGCTGCAACAGATGTGTAAAGATTTTTCAAAGTATGACGAATGGACGTTCCTGTGTGCACATGACCACCAATTACAAATCGAGAATGAAAATAATCTCAGTTTTAAGAGACAGTTCCTGTCTCAGCAGTTATCTGAGCTGATGGGCAACAAAACCACACCCTTCTGAAGAAAGACAATATAAATACCTCTTCAATTTCTGCATAATTTAGAGGAGGTATCACTCACATTCACCACTGAGTGTGTAAGCGGGTATGTGTGTGTGTGTGTGTGTGTGTGTGTGTGTGTGTGTGTGTGTGTGTGTGTGTGTGTGTGTGTGTGTGTGTGTAAGCTTGACTATTCCTGTTTTTGATTTTCGAATCCAAAAATCGAGAAAAAAAAAAAAAAAAAATCCAAAAACAGAAATTGAGCGGAATTGAGATTAGAAGTTGTAATAATAGAAAAGAGTAACATTTTAAACACACAAGGCTTTCATTGAAAAACACAAGAAAAGCATTCAACAACGTGAAGCATGTGATGAGCAGCTTTGATGACGCTTTGAAAGCCTTACACGAGAGGCCCTTTACAGTACAAACACAATAGTATGGCAAAGTTTGACATTAAAAAATGGACACAAAATGATTCGGAAGCTGACGACGTTGGAGGTTGATTCTCATGGTAATATCTGAGGTCAGGCAGAATAAAAAATACATTGAACCAATGCAAAATGCCATCACAATGTCTCTCTTATTTATCCCCCAGAGGCCAGATTTCCTTGAAACATTTCAACCAATACAGCTTCAAAAGTCATTTTTAAAAATAATGGATTAAATCTGGAGCCTAATATCAAGTGAAATGTGAAATTCTCTCATATTTTTGGGAAACAAGAGTTACAAAGGTGTAGTAGCTTTCGCGCTGGCTGCAACATGCACACCCAGTGCTGTCTGAAAAAACCAGTAACTACCCTGTGTTCCTGAACCAAGAGAACTGTGCTCGGATTTGACCAGACCTGCACGTTAATGTCGACACATGTCATTCTTCAACAAATCTAAAGTACTTTTGCAGAACACACCTCTCGCTTTGAGACACAGAAGTAAAATCTACAGATGGAAACAATATGATTTTAAGCATGTGACCTTTTTTTTTTTTTTTCCACAGAAGAAGGACCATCTGCTGCACCGCGGAAAAAACGATAAATATTAGACCATAAATATGCCTCCGAAATGTTGTGTGTATAAATTAGTGTGGAGAAGCAGAGTATCTGTGAGGAAAGCAGAGTCGAGGGGTTAAATTGTAATCAGTGAAATGTGGCACTGAGCTCTGCTTCCACAGGCCTCACTTTGAGAAGTACAGCAAGCAGCAAGATGTGCGCTCGCAGTCTTGAAATGCCCTCGTCAACTAACAAATTTGACGATTTGATAAAGACAAGTAATAGCGTGTTTAGCACGAGGAGAGGGTGATCACTTGATACTGAGGTGGATCATTCTTTGGCACTTAAGCACACAAACACTGGTTAGTTTTGTAGCTCTGGTAACGGTGGAAATCTATCCTGAACCCTTTTCTACAACCTTAACAGCCCTACAATGCTCTCAAAAGCCCTTTAGACTCTTTATTAAAGACATCAATATAAGCTAAACATGAGCCTTGTTCGACAATCTAACTTAAAAACTAGCTCTTGCCAGAACGGTTGACTAAACTGCATTGCTGAAAGCTAAAAACTGTTGCTAACATAATTCAAAATTGTCTTAGTCAAAGTGAAAACCAACAAAAAAAGTCCTAATTCCAAAGCCTTTTCCCTTCAACGTACTGAATATGTGCCAAAATGCTTGAATCCATTACACTGGCAAATATTTAACCCTTTTTCTCTTCTTGCTTAAGATGTAACTGTATTCAGCTGCCATGGGCCTTTTTTTTTAGACAGCACATATATGTTCCCTCTTTGGCTTCCACCGTGCCCATCCAGACATGTAAATCCACCTGCCTGAGGGGTAAAGTGAGGTGAATGCTGGCAACAAAGGAGCAGGCCAAGGGAAGCAGGCTTCAGTTGCCCAGACTGCCACTCACAACAGTGATTCCATTTTAGCCGTGACACAGTGGGTGAGCAGCAGCCAGTGCCTACCTGCAGTGAATTCTAATCAGCCCAGGGGTCTGTCTCCCTCCCCTCCCCTCCCTCCCTCCCTCCTGTACCCTGCCTTGGACTAAAGGGGCTGATGATCCTTCAAAATTAATTAGATCCTTGTAGGAGGCGGCCATTTTCTTTCACTTCCAAACGCTCCACCAAAAAAAAAAAAAAAAAAAAAAAAAGACATTTTCTGAATTAAACCAAACTCGAGTTGTGTATTTTTCCCCTTCTCGTATTGATCTCTTTCTCTCTGCATCTTTACCTGTTTCCTGTTTCATCAAACTCTCTCCTTGTCTTTTCTTCAATCTGTCTGTCTCACTACTGTCTGTGTGTCTGTAACCACCCCCCCCCACCCTCCTCCTCCTTTTCCTCCCTCCTTACAAACCTTCCCCACTACCCCCCGCCCCTCTCCTGGCTGCCTCCCTCCATGCTCCCAGCTCTGTGTCTGCCTCTGTGGAGTTTGCTGTCAATAAATCCCCAGAGGTCAGTTTGTCTGCTGGAAATCAGACACAATGCTTCAGACCGCCAATGCAATGCATGCTCTGCTGCTGCTGCCGCCACAACAAAGACTGAGGAGGGGTAGGAGGGTGGGGGGAGTGAGGGAGAAGGAGGAGGAGGAGGAGTAGGGGAGGGGGCAAAAGAAGAAAAAAAAAATTAAGACAGAGGGAGACGAGAGGAGGGTTGCAACTTCACCAGCCAGACTCCAGGTTAATCAGCCGCCTATATTAGGTGACAAGGCCGATGAAATAGGCTGCATCGAATTGGACATTAGTTAATCAAGTGGGGGTGGAGGGGGGGGGGGGGTAAAATGGTGACCATGAGGGAGGGGTTTGAGAGCAGACATAAGAGGCATGCTTATAAAAGGAGCAGTATCAGCCATGTGAATAATATACATCTTGAATATGCAAATAGTGCTTACAACACACACTACAAGCATATATTCAAGGCCCCTGGTACATTTAAATGTGGAGACAAAAGGGCCACGGGGCATCGTGAAAAGCCCGTCCATGCATGTGCATACAGCATCTCCATGAATCCGCTCCAGATTTGCACTTATCAAGAGTGTTTTTTTTTTTGTTTTGTTTTTTTTGTTCCACCTAATTAATAGTAATTTATGAGTTTGTATGAAAGCTCCACTACTTCAACAATCACTGTCCGACGTTGTAATTATTTATTTCAATCATCCCTTTAGAAGCAAGTGCATTAGCATAGAAACTAGCAGATATTATGCTTTAATAGTATGGTTTGTGATATGGTGATAATGTAATTTAGTACACAATGTACATGTGTAGCGAGCCCACAGGGGAGTTTAAAGCATAAATCAAGTGTTGATCTGATGTGTGATAACTGAGTGTGTGTTTCATTTCCTTTTGTGATAAAATAATACACACACACCAAAAAACACACACACATAAAAACAGTCGACATCTCAAACTTTACTAAGAAAGAGGAAAAAAAAAAAAAATTAAAGCACATCTGATAAGGTTTTGTCCTGGTTTTCTTCGATCAGCGCAATTAAAAAAATATCAGAATATTCCTCTCTGCACAACAATACAGAGTAGACTGATTTGAATCGGAGTAATTTAAAGCCCTGATCTTCTATCACATTCGAGTGTTCGTCTATAACGTCGTGCAGCAGTTAACAGGTGTGCTAACAAATGCACCTAAATCTCACACACTTCCAAACGCGGCAGAAAACACCTCGCAGACTCAAGATTTAATTGATTTGTCTTTATGGCAGTCCCTGAAAACCATCAACAAGCAAACGTAGGCTGTTGACAAGTTGTGCCAAGATTTTCACACACAACATTTTTTCCCATTTTTTTTTTTTTTTCCATCTCCCTAAACTGAAAATGTACTAGGCAACACAACATCACCAATGAAATCGCTCTCAAATGTGTGATGATTACAACAAGGATGAATTACATATCATTTGTGCTTCCTTACAATGACATGAAATGTCTTCCTGAACTTTGAACCAGCTCTTCAGCTACAACACAGATGTAGGACTAGTGATTCTGCCTTCACGACTACAGCTCCAATCACAGGCTCGCCAAAAGAGACAGTTTAAAATGTGCAAAAGTGGTAAAATTGTGTTTTTTTTTTTCCATTTCACATAAACACCCTTTTCTCTGCTGTGAAAGCTCTGCTACTTGGTCCAAGCATCGTGAAGATTTAAAACAGAACCAGTGTCATGTTTTGGACACCTTTT